TGATCTACAGGACGCAAGTGAATAAAGTTAAATTTTTTCGCAATTACAGTAAAACGCACGCCAATAAAACGTCACTTACACGTCGTCGTTTCGAATCTGATGAATGAAAACGGCGAAGCGAATGTTTCTTCCGTCGTGTGGAGTGGGCGCTGCTTTTTAAGCTAGTGCCGCGATCTACGGGACGTAAGTTAATAAAGTTAACATCTTTCGCAATTAGAGTGAAACGCACGCCAATAAAAACTCACATACACGTCGTCGTTTCGGATCTGATGAATGAAAACGGCGAAGCGAACACATTTCTTCGGTCGTGTCGAGTGGGCTCTGTTTTTTAAGCTAGTGCCGCGATCTACGGGACGTAAGTTAATAAAGTTAACATCTTTCGCAATTAGAGTGAAACGCACGCCAATAAGAAGTCACTTACATGTCGTCGTTTCTGATCTGATGATCGAAAAATGCGAAATGAAAACGTGTCTTTCCGTAGCATCGGGTGGGCGTTGCGTGTATTTAAGCTTCCATGGCATGACGTCTCCATCCGGGTTATGGGTAGTGGAATTTCCGCTTATTAAGTTCCGGTAACATGTAATATCGTAGTCAAAATGTTAATGCATAGGTTTTTGTTCCGGGTGAAGGAAATTCCTTTTCATAGAATTCCGGGGATGGGAATATTTACTGTATTCGTAGTTACTTCTTTTAAACTGTTCTTGAGCCTGGTGGATTTAGCAGAGAGACATCGCAGCCTCCTCCCCGACGGCATGTCGAAGAGGCTGTGAGACGGGTTTGTGGGGTCACCTGCGATCTAGGTAGCTTGGCGGGTCAGATGAGAGTTGTAAGTGTCCGCGAGTGGAGGAAGAGAGACACCAATGATCTTCTCAGCCGCTCTCACATTGCGCTGCAGACTCTTTCTGCAGGACACGGTGCAAGCGGCGTACCACACGGTGATGCAGCTGGTCAAGATGCTCTCAATGGTGCCTCTATAGAAAGTCTGCATCATGGGGGGCGGGGCTCTTGCTCTCCTCAGTTTGCGGAGGAAGTACAGGCGCTGGTGGGCTTTTTTGGCCAGTGAGGTGGTATTTAGGCTCCAGGTCAGGTCTTCAGAGATGTGCACACTGTTGTGTGACACAAAAAGTCGTCTAGATATGAAATTTCAGACTAACATATGCAAGTCTACTCACAGGAACATCAATCTGCTTGGAGATGGACTCATAGGCTTTACGTTTAACATACTTTTCGATAATTTTCATTCTCATCTCTGAGACAGTTTGCTTCTTTGCTTCCTCTGGTCCATGTTTAGTGCGGTACACACCTTATCACAAATAGCACAGTGACAACTTGTCACCATTTTAAATAAACTGTCTGACTGACAATAAGTTTAAAGATGCCTCTCCCTATGGTCAAAATTTCACTCTTTACTGGGGGTACCATCATTTTTGTCCAAGCCTGTTTCATCAGTTTGTTTTTTAACATAATTCTATGAAACCACACTTCAAAAATGTGATTAAAATTGGTTATTTGTCTTTCCTTTTTTTCCTTTCCTTTTCTTCCATTATTACTTATTTTATCATCACTTTTGTTAGATTCAAATAATTTCTTTGTGGGTTTTTCCTTGATGAGGGTTGCTGACAATTTTGTCTATGTCTGTATACAGTATTGTTATTGTAGTCTGATAAGATGAATGTGGGACCTTGAGTTATCCTAAAATTGTACTCAGGTGCTGAGTAACACTTATGAAGGTCCATCAGTCCTTCTGTTATCCTATTTTGATTGATTTACATTCCAGCGTTATCTCTATTCCACTGCGATGAGGCACCTCTATGATATGTCTTAAATCTGGAGAACCCAAGAACCCTTTTCTTCTTTGGAAAATGATGAATTATACATTAAATGACTGCTATATGTTCACTGAACACCAAAATATATGTTTTTAAAATATTCAATGCTTTAATCCTAATTTAAGATTCGGACCAAATTTGACCCTTTGGGATTTAAGGGTAGCATTTGAGTAGCAGAATTTATAGGGGCCAAATCAGACCCCATGGGTTCTCCAGGGTTAAAATGAAAAAACAAATGTTTGCATCTAACTCAAAACATTTTCAATGCGTGGAATTACCTAAACTATGACAAGGCAAAGCAAATTTATTTAGGAAACGTTTGACTTTGAAAAAACATTTTGTAAAATGTTATTACATTAATTTACAAAAAAAAAAAAAGATTTTCAACCTTAACTATGAAAATGTTTCCTCAACTTGGCATAACTTCGAAGGGAAAATATCCATTGGATGTAATGACCAAAAGGTTTTGGTTTGTTTCTGTGTTTATAGGAGTACAATAAATGGTGTGTTCTGGAGACCTCAAGTCAGGAGTGCAAAACCCTTCTGCCTGGGAAAACGAAATGTTACAACTTCAGCTTTGTGGCAAAAACCAAAGACGTTGGCAAAAAAATTGAGGTTCGAAAGATTTATGTGTTTATCTTTTGGTGTTAACTGAGTCATTTTAGATTCTCATCCACGACCTTCAGTAAGTCAATTGTGTTGAGCAGCACAACCAAAGATCACGGTGTGAACATGAAGTGTTGTATAGCAGGGTGCCCAAGTCCAGTCCTTGAGAGCCTCTATCAACCCTTTTTTTAGACGTCTCCTTCTTTCAACACACCTGACTCAAATGATCAGGATAGTTATCAGGCCTCTCCTAGCTTGCTGATAATCTCATCATTTGAATCAGGTGTGTTGGAAGAGGGACACCTTAAAACCGTGTGAATTTGGGCTCTTGAGCACCAGACTTGGGCACGCCTAGTTTATAGTATAGTTTCAGCATGCTGAGGTGTTTTATATATTAAACTTAAATTTATTCAATTAAATATATTCATAAATGTACGAGTTAGATGCAATACGTTTCTATCTGTTAGATGACAGGTATAGAAGTCATGCTTGGCAGTAGCAGTGGTCGCTGTGTGTTTCTGAGATGGCGAGGGGCAGGTGGAGACGCAGCCACAACACGTGAGTTCCTGCAGTCTAACAAGTCATCATCTTGGCCTGACACTGAGGAAGACTTGGATTGGGAAAGCATGACTATCCTACAAAATACCATGTGAGACTGAGATAAATCTAGTTTTCTTCCTTAATGAAGTCATCATTCAGACTGTGAACAAATTCTAAATTGCGCTATTGATTTGTATTTCATTTGCTGTCATGTATTGTCCAGGATAATGTCGAGAGTTCCAAAGATCTCTGTACAGCTGAGTCATCAGCCTCCTGCTCTCAGCAATGAAATGTACTGTATTCACTGTACTGTCCAATCACTGGAGGAGGGTGTAGCCAAGGATGTGAAACTGACTGCAGGACTCAAACCTGGTAAACTTTCCCAAATTAAATTGCATTATGAACACATCTTTGAACAAATGAGCAACGTACTTTTACAACTTTCACATTTCGGAAAGTTTGTTAATTTCATACCTATTATCCTTTTTAATCCAGTTGCACTTTTTGTTTCCTTTCATTCTACTCTTTATTTTGCACGCATGATACCACAAACAACAACTTTTCAATGTTTTTGTGCCAAAATTAAATGAATACAAATTCAGTGGAATAGAACTTGGACCCAATTAAATTAAATTTGTTTATCAAAATGTGTGCCCTGGAATTGGCCAGCAATCAGTTCAGGGTGTACCCCGCTTACTGCCCAAAGATAGGTTCCAGCACACCTGCGACCCTCATGAGGGTACAGTCAGCGGTTCAGATAATGGATGCATGGAAATGAAGAAGTCTTAAAGCTTGTGTTTTTTTGTAATGTTTCCCTTAATAACATTTATTTTGTGCAATTAAACACTTTAGTGTCCCCCCCCCCCCGCCCCCCAATTTTGCTGTTGTAGACAAATTTCCCCAGTGTGGGACAAATAAAGGTTATCTTATCTTATCTTATCTTATCTTATCTTATCTTATCTTATCTTAATAGGTGCCAATGTTCAGCTGGGTGGCTTAAAGCAAATCACTATTGCGGAACTGAAAAAAAAAAAAAGAAAGTAAAACGTACAAAAATTCTAAATCAATCCAGCAGAGCCACTTCATATTTCCGATAATTCAATGGCACAGTTTCATGGCAAGTTGTGAAAAGACGATTGCAAGACTGTTTGGTGGCATAGTCGCGACTTCGAAAGGGACAAACAGGGAACCAGACCTCCATTGGGTTTGTGCAAGGGTTGCCTTTTAATTTGAAGTCATGTCTGTATTTGAGGAAAATATGCAACCACGAAGCAGGCGCATGTCTCAACATAGACTAATTAACTCTTCAGGTCAAGAGTCAGTTATCTACCTGCACCTCAAAGAGAAACATCACATTTTGATTATTTGAAAGAAGAGTGAGAAAAGCCATATATGTTAAGGTTGAAAGACCACATATGCCTTTGGCGGGCAGTCTCCCCTCTGCAAGGCATTGTCATTGCATCCCAAAAGAGGCTTTACTCTCATATTTAAACACTGATATTTTTTTCACACAACTTTTCATCCAAATTGTTTCATTGTATTGCAGTGAATGTGTTGTGGTTGATTTTTACTGATTTATCATCATCATTATTATTATTATTATTATTATTATTATTATTATTATTGTTATTATTATGTGATGTTGTGCTTTTTAGGTCAAGACGCCAATTTAAGTCAGACTACACGCGTGACGCTTGATAACTCCAAGGCTTGTGATGACACTACCCCTTCTTTGCTCCCTGACATACTTCTGGGGAATCTGAAACCAGGCAAAAAGGTTCAAATACTTTCACTTGGGTTTTGTAAGTTAACTTGGCCCTGCTTTCATTTTGTTTCCTGAGATACGGTACTGTATATCTCATGATGCCAATGGTTGATACATGTGTGAATATGTAGTATATGCAGATTTTAAGTTTCCTTATGGTTTAAATAAATATTACTTTTGTCTCTAGCTTGAAAAATGTGTATATGTCTCATCTTTGACAACTGGACCAAGACTGTTCCTGTTCCACATAGCTTACAGCATTGATTTAAGTGTGGATGGACAACAGATACTCTGCAAATGTCAGAAGGTAACAGTTTTTTGGTTTGTTTGTTTTAATGCACCACCTGTTTAATTTCTTCTTATCCTTTATTTTTACATGTTCCAGGATGAAATGATTACCATCGAGACATTGGTCCCATTTGAAGTTTCTGCCAACTTTCTGTCCACGAAGGTATGTCACTTTATTTAGATACAGTGGAACCTCCGTTCATGAAAAACACTTGTTTGTCTTTGTTCATAAACTGAAGTTTATGAACAAACCCTAACCCTCAACCTAAACTTTGTTGTCAGTACCGATGCTTTCATACGTTAAAAGCAATAAAAAAAGTTGATTTTTACAGCACCCCAACAAAACCTCCGACCCCCTACCGAAATGGTTGCTGGTACTATTTATACCGTATATGAGGATAATTTGTCACAATCCCAAGAAGAAGGTAAACCAATTTCTATTGTTGGAACAGAAACATAAGGGGAAAAGTAAAGTTGAAATATTCGCCATATCATCATTGTCACCTATTTGAACCCTATAATATATTAAGTTTGGCAAATTGTAAAGATGTTATATATGCCTGTGTTGTATAAAACAGTGCATGGACTTATATCACAAACATAAACTGAATATGTTAGGGTTAGGCTGAAGCCTACTCCTGGCAAAACTACCAGAGCTATGACTTAGAGGTGACTGTGAGGGAGACGCCCCACTTTTGCACTTTTATCAGTCCTCTCAGTTTTGTCCTGTACCATTCGGAGTCAAATCCCACATATCATACGTTCAAAGCTCATCTGAAAAACTTAAATCCAGTCAATACTGTACTCGTTAGAGCTGTTTGGACCTAATGTCATTTGATACATTTGCCTATGTAACACAACCATGACTGTCTGAACAGTTGTACATTTCTGCTCTATTGTCCAGCAGTGCATGCATTCAAATATGTTTGGATGCATGCATTTCATGTCCTTATTTTGTAATTATTAAAGCATTCACTTTCATATAGTAGTTATTGAACCGATAACTGAATGATTGTACCTTTCTTAACATTTCAATTGTTCCTTATGTCTTGGTCGTCCCAAGCGGCAGGAGAGGACCAACACATCTGGACTTTCATGCCAATGCTAATCCTTGACCATTTATGTGTAAATATTTATTAGTAACTGTCACACTTTAGATGGCACTTGAGATGTTGACTGAATGAAGGATGTCTTGTTTATGGTTTGCCCATGTTTCATGTAATCTGTCAAGGGACTATGAATGTTAATTGGCTGTATGCTAACGTTGGCAAATTTACGCAGGTATTGCACCAGCGTTCATTAATGTGCATTGTCCCTTTCAAGTAAACAATAAAAATGAAAATGCTTTAGGACCTAAAACAATGATATTGTTGGTGAGACACTAATGAAAGCAACACCCTGTAACTACCAGCAACAAAATAAATGATCCCAAAACACATCAACTTAAATATGAATTGAAAGTAATCATCAATCAAGTCATTTGCCATTATGACGTTAGTCTTACTTTTTTGGGGTGAATGTTTCATTTCAGTGTAGTTTTTATTTGTTTTTGTTTTTCTTCTTTCTCTGCACATTTTTAGAGAAATAGAAAAATCAAAAAGTGAAAACAATAAACAGAAAACAATAAAGGTGCCAGTTTGGGAGTTTGATGCCAGTTTGGGAGTTTGCTTCCTTGACTCTCTCTTCTATTTCTTGCTCCTGTGGCTCTCAGTTGGTCTGTGGTTCTGGACCTATCCCAGGTGTTAAGTCCCCCAAGAGAGCTTTTGTTTTGCGGTTTACAGGGCTCAACACAAATGTTTGTACTAGTAGCTCTGCTAATACCAACTTTTTCAGTTGGTCACATTAGCACAGAATTTAGTCTTAAATATTTTGCTGTTACAAGAATGTTGTTTGCAACAAGCAGTGTTGAGCGCTGCTATATAAATAAAATGTAATTGAATTGCTCATTTGTTGGATGATTTTGTGTAATTTAAAAAAACATTTTGTTCTCTGCAGTTTGAGCCCCTGGAGCAGGTAGCCGTGGACCTTCCCTTTCTGATGTTAACGGAGATCCGATCATCATCCCCTTGGCCCTTGCTCTTGGCTTCCACATCTCTCCAGAATATTGGAATAACAAACACACAACACCATAAGTACCAGATACAAGATGGTAATTTTTGTTTTCATTATTATATATTTATCGTAGTCCAATTTTCATACATTGGGTTGAAAGATATTGTGCTTGCTGTAGGAAGTTAGTGTTACCGAATCAATAGCTGAGGGCTTCAGCTAAATTTCGTATGAACTACCTACATTTTATAGAGGGACTGCAGGGAAAGGTAACCTATTGTTCTTTGTTGGCTAAAAATTCAAAAACAAAATGTCTTTTTTTTTTTTTTTGCCAGTCTATCGATATACAGTGCTTATTGATTATTTTCTTTTATTTTGGCCCACCTGTCATTAAATGGTAGAGACCATACAGCTTTCAAGTATCATAACTTTTGGACAAAACAAATCCTTCCTTTCAACTTAAGTTAATGAGTTAAAACAAAAATCATTGTGTGGAAAAGTTCATTGACAAAGCTACTCTGTCTAATAAATCATGTTTTAAGGCATTCATTTAACTTTGTGCTATTGTCTCAGTGATCCTGCGGAAAGATGAGTGTGCAAGTGAATGCTTGTGTCTTCGGTGTCCATCACTGGCTGACAATAATAACGACGTGGCTACTGGACAGTACGTCATATTGTGGAGAAGGTATATGCACCAACATTCACCCTTCACACCCTATTTAATCCAGAGATAAAAAGCCGAAACATTTTTCCTGTTCTGTATTTAAATTGGACCATTAAGTCTCACAAAACTCCAGGGTTCGTACGGGTCCTTAAAGTACATAAAAATCAATAAAAAAAGAAGTTGTAAAATTATGTACTTAATTGTCCGTAATTTTCAAGGAAATCTTCTAAAATCCATAAAGATCCATAAAAATTAACCTGCAGTGTTCATTTCAGTTGTGTATGTCATTTTCCCCACCCTTGCAATTCATAGTTTTGTCGGAACATGCAGGATCTGGGACCCGCTCCGCTTTTTCCGCCGTCTCCGATTATTTCCGACGGTGATCACGTGATCCCTTCGGGTCATTCTGGGAAACAACAATAGATTGACGCCATCCCGGGGCAGTGAATGGATGGTTTGGTTGCCGGCTCGGCAAACAATTACCGTACTTTCTGGAAAAATCTATTCATCGAATTTATCGATCTCAACAAGTGACAGACAAATATGTAGCGACGCCACTCGAGCGAAGCGCGCTTTAGCAGTCGATAGTCCGCTGCTCTCTGTCGTGTGTACGTCAGCTAAGCTTAGCTGTTGTTTCGGCTAGGCTAGCGTTTTGTTGTCGTAGATCAAAGTGTATTTGATTTGTGACATCGGTTGCTTCCAAAAGACATGTTCGCGCGGACGCACACACAGCAAAGAGCAGCGGACTTTCGACTGCTGAGGCGTGCTTCGCTCGAGTGGCATTGCTACAAATATTCCGGGACAATGCTATTTTCAAGTGCCGTGGCTGGAGAAGCCGGAGTTCCGAGTTTGGGTCGGAAAAATTGCTAACGATTATACGTCGGTCTACTGCCGAGTGTGCAAGAAGGGCATCTCTGTGAGAGGTAAAACTTGTCATAGCCTCCTGGTCAAGTCAAATGCATTGAGGCACACAGCAAAACAGAAGAAAATTGATCGCCAAGAACCTGCAAAAGAGATTGAGGAGAAAACTAAGTCACTGTCTGCTATTCCCTAATTGTCATATCAGTTTCATATTTGTCATTCTAAAACATGTCTGATCATTGAAGGTGACATGAGGGAAAATAATAGGGTTGGACCCATTTGGGATTTAGACTTCTGACATGCATTTCAGCTGTTCAAGTATACTGGATACTGCCAAGATGGGCAATCAGTACTACTGTTAGTGAAACCAGATTTTTCTAAACCCTGTCCTGGTGACACATATGACCATTAGCTCTGTTCTTTGTGTTGTGTTTATTTGAAAATAAATTGAAGTTTTATATTTTCTCAATTTAAATTTTTCTTTGTGTGTTTTATTTGAGAATTAAGTTTTTTTTTCATTTTCCTACCTGTATGAAAGTGAAAATTTGACATAGAGTATGTCAAATAAAGGGCTAAGTGATTGCCCCTAAAAATAAAGATGTGCCCTTCCTTTGGCAGCAATGATTCGAACACCAGCTCAGTGATATGTGGCTTTCTGTTCAGCCCGTGTATTGCTGAGCAGGCTTTAAATCCATCGTGAATCCCCCGCTGAATTGAGAAAAGGTCCTTAAAAATGGCTAAATTGGTCCACAAAAGTCATTAAAAGGTCCATAAATAAAAAGCAAGTGGAAGAGTGGGAACCCTGAACTCACTCTTCACATGAACATTGCGTATCTGTTCATAATATTGCTGACTGAATACAACCCGGGAAACTCTGAAGTTCTTAATTCTGGATTGCAATTCTCTTCAGACATTCCTCCAGTCCAGATAGTCCTCTCATCAGCACCACAGTCACTCTGCCACATGCCTCTCTGGAGCGTGTACCACTCTACATCCATGCTGGTTAGTGTACTTTGCTAATACTGTCTTGAGACTGAGCACAAATGACCAAGTGTGAGTGCAGGGTCGAAGGGACTATGGCCACAAAATGGCATTCATTTTCAATTATCATCAATTCATTTTGGAGCAATCTGGAAATAATTATTTTCCCCTGGAAACCTATCTTTTTTATCGCCAAAAACCATCAGAAAAAAGCCTAAAATCAGTAGTGAATCTTTTGGAGCGTATGGGTGGGTGGGGGGGGGGTTGTGTTTGGGGGCGATAAAATGAACCACTGCAGCTATTATTTTTAAATCCAGAACTATACAGTGAGTGCCAATGTTTGGCCATTTGGCCAATCCCTTTAATTTTTGGATGCAGGCCATGTTGTCAGAATTTGTTGTAGGACAAGAATAATGGAATGAAAATGTTTCTGTGTAATTTAACTAATCTAATGAATGCATATCCTCTCTTTTCTGCCCTGTGTTGTCTTCATATCGATGTAGATATCCCTCCCTTTGGAAGAGTCCGAGAGTCTCTTCCAGTTTGTTTCCATATAGAGAATAGAACAGCTCTGGTACAGGAGGTGCAGATATCTGTCGAACCATCAGAATCCTTCATGTTTTCTGGACTAAAACAGGTAAAATCATGCTCTTTAGATTCTGTCACCAGAAGGAGCTCATCGAAAAAGATTGCAATATACATATCGATACTTACCGAGTTTTATTTTTGAACTGTTCACAAATATTCATACAAGATTTTGTCAAGGAAGTACCGTTTCTGAAATTCGTCCCAGGAATTTGAGATAGAATAGCCGGTGAATGCCACCAAAGGCTGAGCATTTTTTTGCTCCTGCTGCCGCGCATAATTCGGGCCTCATGGGAAGACCCTGAATACTAACCGGTTGATTTGCTGTGACGGTGATTTTAGGTGTCACCATTTTTTTTGTAGCATGCTATGGAGAATACAATGAGTCAGGTTATTGGTGGTTGCTACCGCATTCTCTTCCTTCTACTCCTCCCCCAATAAGACAACCAGATCATCCTCCTTGTTCTCCTTTAAGATCAGCACCATCTTTTCACTGTCACAGCCATGACTGGGGTCAGCCAGCCCATCATTAACCACTCTGAGGGCCGTGAAAAACGGAAATAACTGAAAAGCCAGTGTGTCTGGTTTTATTGCATTTAACTGAAGCATTTGATACAGCAGGTCACAGTATTCTGTCGACTCGCTTGCAGCACCTGGTGGACATTGGCAGTGTAGCGCCTTTGAGTGGTTTTGGTCCTACTTGGCTGCAGAACTTTTTATGTTATCCTTGGTTGTTCTGAGTCAGTAACTGCCCCACTATTGTGTGGTGTTGCTGCTGTTCTCATTGTATCTGTTCCCTTTGGGTTCCCTTTTAAGGAAACATGGTACTTCCTTCCACTGCTATGCCGATGACTGTCAGATCTATGTCTCGCTGAGCAAAAAAGACGCTTTCTCATTGAGGCCACCAAAAGGTCCTTTCCCAGGTTCCCTCCCGGGCTGGTGGGTGCTAAATGCACTTGCGAGAGTTATTCATCAAAAGGAATATCGGTGTCCTCTAGATATTGGGTCACAAGTGACTACCATTCCCCAGTCCATTTATGAGCGTGATTTATCATGTCACCATCTGAAGTCTCTGAACGATTTAGTAAACATTAAACTAGAAGTGGAGGGGGCAAATGGCCAAGCCATGCCATATTTAGGGTATGTAGAATTGGACTTGACATTCCCCGAAGAATTCGTTGGAAATATCATTGAAGTCCCTACCCTAGCATTGGCAGTTGCTGTGATGAGCACCTCTCCTCAGATCCTCATCGGTACCAATACTCTGGATGTACTTTACAGAGACTATATCGCATGTCATGGACAGCAGCCATCGTCTTCTGTCCCTGGATATGGGGTGGAACTCAAAAGTTCTGGAAGTCAGACAATTGGGAGCAGGCATCGATACCTTGGGGCAGGTGAGGGTACCCATAGATAATCCCAGTTTTATACCGGCTGGTCACACTGTTGTTGGGCTTTTCCGCACAAGCAGTGTCCACCATGGGAAATGGGCCGCGTTGGTGGTTTACGAGTTGGCAACTCCCTTTGCACGCTAGCAACCAAGAGACCATACCACGTGCCAGTCGTGGTGAAAAATGAAACCGCGACAGATATCAGAATTTCCTCCAGGACTGTTTTAGCTGAAATCCATTTGGCTCAGTGGGTGGTCCAGAGAAGGCTGTGAGTAACACCTCTGGCCCCAGTGCGGAGCTTGACCATGATGTTGGTAATTCCCCTTTGCTGCCCGAGTGAAAGGACCAAGTAGTGAAATTATTAAATTCTATGCCTGAAGTCTTCGCTCTGCTTGACTCCGATTATGGCTGCACCGATAAAGTGAAACAGGCAAACCCTCTGAAAAAAAAAAAAATCTATGATGACCGAAAGTGTGGCATTATTATATTGTATTTTTAATAAAACAGAAAAAAACGGAACTGAGCGTTGCCGTGGCCTGAGCGAATCAGGGCACAGAATACTAGCAAATGAGAGGTGCGGGTTTTCACCTTTGTGGCGTCAAGGTCTTGCTGCACGATCTATCTCGCTCTCGTTTTCTGACGGGACTCGAAAGCGAGCAGACATATTTTTCGGCTGATCTAAAGAGGTGTTTTGGGAGAGAGTGTTGTTTTACGCAGTGAATGTGCTCATAGGCTTGAACGTTTTCCGCGTAAAAACACTTAAATTTAGTCACTTTCTTTAGACTCAACTCAACTGTATTTATAGAGCACTTTCAAACAGCCATCACTGCATACAAAGTGCAGCTAACATATACATATACATATACAACAGTAAAGCAACAAATTGGTAACAAAGATGGTAGAAAGCACCGAACAGCAAAACCAAGAACAAATCTGAGTCATGCTGAGTCAAATGCCAAAGAATACAAGTGAGTTTTGAGGCGGGTTTTGAAGATGGGCACCGAGGAGGCTTGCCGAATGTTCAGTGGGAGGTCATTCCAGAGAGAGGGACCAGCAACAGAAAGATGTCGAGCATTGTTCCGGGTTAACGTAGCTGTTAGCTTCCTTACATCCTGGATTGCGCCGACCATGGAACGTCATCAGCGCCTTGTTCGGCATTCCTCTGGTGAGTGTACGTGGATGTGAATAATGTCTCACAGTACATGGGATTAAATTTACCTGATATTATTTACTGGAGTTACTTTATTGTAGACGCTGATGTGCTCTCGGCCCATTTAGGCCGGGTCTTTTGCGCAGTTACTTATCGAGGACAGCGCTGGAATTTGCATGCCTTCTGTGGAGTGGATTCCATTACAGTGCCCAGAATTCCGAAAGTGCGGGGAAAGGGGTACAGTGATGGTGGCGAGCCAACAAAAAGAAAATATATTACGTGATAAATTGTTTTTTTGACTGCTTAGTGAATTTGGAAATGTTTAACGGAAATAATTGTTAAGGCAAGATAGATAGGGACACTGGGTGTTCGGTAGTTGAATTCACAATTCAGAGATGAAAGTCCTCCGGATTTTCCCGGAATTCCGGGTTTTTCAAATTTTTATGGAAATTTCTCCGGAGAATTGAGGAAAATTTGCATAAAATTAATCCGGATATGAGTTGACAACATTGAACGAAGATGCGTTTGAGTTCGTTGTATTGCTTTCACGAGCGTAGCCATATTGAGGCACTAACACTAGTAACAGTAAAGA